CTGTTAGGCCACAAGTTGCCCTGTAAGGGAGTGGCTACAGTACAACACCTCCTGGATCTCTTCCTCCATCCCCACAGCTAAGCGCAGACGGCAGGACTTTGTAGCCAACTCCAGGGGTAGGCAATGAAGATCCAATGAAGCCAGGTGCCAGCATGCGCACCTGTCATCTCAAGTAGGCGCGGACTAAAGCAGAAGGAGTTCAAGGCCAGCTGGGCATCTTAGCAGGACCCCATCTCAGAATAAGAAGGACTGGGGGTTGGAGGCCCTGGGTTCAGTCCCCACTACTGAAGAAAACACCCTGAACCAAGGCCAGCAGCCCTAGCTGGATCTCGCAGGCATAGTTAGCACAGTGGCAGGGCGTATCCTAGGTAACTTTGGCTGACCTTAGTTTCTAGCCTAAGCCACACCCGCACAGAGCTTAGTAAGCCAGTGGCAGAGAACCTTTTCAGGGAAAAAGAAAGTGATACTTAGCCTGTGCTCTAGAGAGGCTGATCTGGCAAACCTAGGCAAGGCCAGCCCATGGCGAGGTGGCACGGAGCCCAGGCTGACATGAGGGTTAGTGGATGGTGAATAGGGCAATAGCAACGGCAGAAATAGTCTCCAGGGGCTAATGTGTCAGCCTTAAGTCTGTGAACTTCAGGGTGCCATACATAAAATGTCATTTCAAACTGAGCTGGAGGGATAGCAGATGAGCTTGGTTTTTGTTTTGACGCAGGGTCTCACTATGCAGCTCAGACTGGCCTTAACCTCTCTTCGTAGCCCAGACTGGTCTCAAACTCCCAACCATTCTCCTGCCTCAGCCTCCTGAGTGCTAGGATTACAGGCCTGTGCCACCACGCCTGGCTGAGCTTGGCTTTGGACACAGGACTGTGAAGTGTTATAGGGACGTTCAGTTAGATAGCATCACACAGCTAGGGATCACTTGGAGAAGAGCCAGCAGGATGGTGCCTAACTTACAATCCCAGCCCTCTGGAGAGTCACCGAGAGTTCAAGGCCGCCCTGAACTACAAAGAAAGACTGTATCTCAGAGAAAAAGTGAAATCCTTTAGGAGCAGCATGGACGTAGGCTATAGGGGAAGCACTGGACTCAAGAAGTCCAGCAGAGCAGAAATAGGTGGACGTGAGCCGCCCAAGGAGGAGGACGGCAGGCAGAGATGTAGATGACGACCCCTGAAGGGTGGGATTACACAGGCTCTCAGATCTTAAGCCTTGGAGGTTGGACCGCAGAGATAGCTCAGTAGAATAAGCGCTTGCCTAGCAAACGCAGGGTCCTGAGTTCAATCCCCGGTACTGAAAAACAAAGGATCCAGCCTTGGAGGTGAATTTGTTCTGTGGATACTTATTGTGCGCTCTGTGAATGACAGAATGAGGAAGCACGTGGTGTCGAGCTCACTGCCATGTGGTGCCCCAGGCCAGATCATGAGTCAGGAAAGTTAGGAGCTTTTATAAAATGTAGATGATGAAGTGGCTGGGATGTGGGGCAGGGCAGAGCCCTTGCCGACCACACATGACCCCTGAGTTCCATCCCCAGCACCAGAAAATGTATTACTTATAAAGCTAGCAAAGGGAATGAGCCAGAGGTGCCAGGGCCCTGGGATTTTTATCTCACATGTAGAAAACACATCTCTAAAACTAGAGTCTGGACTGGTGAGATGGCTCAGTGGTCTAAAGCACCTACTTAGAACAAGCTTAGCAAAGCACAGGGAACACGGTTCAATCCCCAGCACCACATGCCAGCCAGCCCCGCCCCCTGGTGGGCTGAGCTGGCCACACACACACACACACACGCACACACACATAAATAAATAAATTAAAAAAAAAACAAAAAACTAGAGTCTGGTGCCAGCGGTGTGACTAGGACTCCCCATGTCTGAGGGGCTGATCCTGCGCTAACGTGTGGCGGCCTCGGCAGGACGTCCTCTCCACAGCAGAGGAGTGTGGTTTAGACACAGGGCTGTAAAAGGCATAGGGACATTCAGGGAGAAGTGACAGACTGTGGTGTTTGTGGAGGAGGTGCCGGAACAGGTGTCCAACAGCCACAGTCTGTGGTCCTGAGCTCGGGTCCTGGCTGTGTAACTCAGGGTATGTTATAGTCCCCACAGCTGTGGGACAAATTACATGAAAACTTGGGGATGAAAATAATATTATGCACAGCCATGTTCATAACAGCATAATTCATAATAGCTAAGTCTGAGAAACAGCCCATATCCCCAACAGATAAGTACATAAAGCAAATGGGTATCATGTGGAGTACTACTCTGCCATAAAGAAGGATAAGACAAGTCATCTGCAGGAAATGGATGCACCTTAGAACCATAATTTTTTGCTTTTGTTTTAGACAGAGTATCTGTTTAGCCTAGGCCGGCCTCAAACTCATGGCAGTCCTCGTGCCTCAGCCTCCCAGTGCTGGGATTATAGGTGTGTACCACCATACCCAGCACATCCAGGTGCTGGATGTATTCAATATGCATGGTCACATGGTTTCTCTTATATGACAATCCAAAAGCATAAAGAACAAAATAAAAGGTAGACAAAGCAGGGCATGATGGCACATGCCTGTAATCCCCGCACTCACCTGTAATTCCAGCACTCAGGAGGCTGAGGCAGGAGGATCATTACAAGTTTGAGACCAGCCTGGGCTAAAAAGTGAGCTCAAGTCCAGCCTGAACTACAGAAGGAGACCCTGTCTCAAAAACAAAAACAAAAAGGGTCTGCCAAATAGCTCAACAGACTAAAGCACCGGCTCAGACACAGGCAGGGATCAGGGTTCTGTCCTGGCATGCCACTGGCCCTACCTCCGGGGTATGCTGAGATGGCAATTGAGACTGGGTGTGGTGGTGCATGCCTGTAATCCCAGTGCTTGGGAGGCTGAAAACAGGAGGATCACTACAAGTCCGATCTGTGTAGTGAGATGGCAGGCCTGGGGATCGAACCCTGGTCCCTGCATCTGCCTAAGCAGGCGCTTTACTCTGCTGAGCTATCTGGCCAGCCCTCTATCACTTTTAATAAAGAGAACAAAGTAGCTAACATGACAAGGGACCCAGAGGGCCTCCGAGGACCATCATAACAGGATGACAGCTGCTGCCTGGTCTATCTGGGCCACCAGCCCAGGAACTTGGCCTTGTCCATTCTCAGAGAAGCCCTGGGGGTCCCACCTCCTCCAGTCCCAACATCGAGTCCCCACAGCAGACACAGAAATGAGCTGTCCCTGCCAGCTTTGCTTGCGATGAAGTTGCAGGGGCTTTGCTGTCCATGTTTGCTGCATTGTCAGGAATGGGGCTGAGACTGACCCTTGAATGAGACTGATGTGAGGTGACACTGTTCCCTTCTGTCAAACTGTTTTTTTGTTGTTGTTTGTTTTTTTTTTAGTGGAACCAGGGATTGAACTCAGGCCCTTTTACTTGCCAGGCAGGCGCTTATTCTACTGACCTATCTCCCTGGCCCCAAACTGGTTTTCTTGTTTATTGCCACCAACAGCAGTGTCCTGGAGATATGTGCAAAGGCCAGCGTGTTGCTAGGGGCAGAGACAAAAAGAGGAACCCACACCCATGCTTGCTATTATTAGCAGGGTAGGTTCTCGGAGAGCACAGTGCTGAGAAGCCAGCCAGGCTGTGGAGCTGCAAGGGCACTCGCCTTCAGGAGAGGGGGCCAAGAACCAGGAAGGTGAAGAGGGAGCTTTGAGGACATTACAAGGGGTGGATGGCCCCAGGAAGAAGGCCTGGGTGGTGGACTCTCCGTCACCTGTGGGACATCTCAGGGAGTGCCCAGTTTGAAGCAAAGGCCTCAGGACCTGTTTGGTGATGTCCCCTAAAATGTGCCCCTGGACCAGGGATTCTCCAAGTGCGATGTGCTAGCCACCAGGAGCCGCTTCACAGAACACAGCTGAAATGTGAATTGTCCAGCCCCTCCCAAGACCTGTTGAATGCATAAATTTGCACGAGAGACCAGAACTCTATATTTTGTCTGGTTTTGCTTGTTTCATTGTGATTCTCTCCCCACTCCCCCCGAATCAGGAATTGAACTCAGGCCCTTGCGCTTGCCAGGGAAGCGCTTATTCCATTGAGCCATCTCCCCGGCCCCAGGTTTTGTTATTGAGACAGGGTCTTGCTATATAGTTCAGGCTGCCCTTGAACTAACTCTGTAGCCCAGGCTGGCCTCAAACAGGGCAATCCTCCTGCCTTCCTCCTAGCACAATCACTCCCTTAGCAGGTGGGGTACCATGTCACTGTAACCCCAGCACTTGGGAGGCACAGGCAAGGGATCGCCTCAAGTTTGAAGCCTGGGATACATAGTTCAAAGCCAGCCTGAGCCAGGGAGGTAGTGCACACTTGTATTCCTAGCACTCAGGAGCTGAGGCAGGAGGACCCTTCCTTCGAGGCAATCTAGGATACAAAGGGAGCTCAGTGGAAGCCTGAACTCATAGTGAGACCCTGACTGAAAAACGAAAACTCCCAATCACAGTGTAAACAGTGGAAAACTCTGGAGGTGACAGGAAGGCCCGCTAAACACACTAAGCACAGGGTGATGGCACACAACAATGTCACCAGCACTGTTTTCCTTTCTGTGATGTTTATTTTTATTAGTCCATCTGACCAACACATACACATTACCCTGCCTGGAAGGACTTGGTCCACCAACCGAAAACGTCACGTTCCCCGCATCCACTGCATCTGTGTAGGGACAGGGTCACAGCCAGTCTCTAGCTTGCCCCAAGCTGCAGGCCGCTCCTGGCTTGCAGCAGCAGCAGCAGCAGCAGCAGCGATGTCCTCGTGCGATGTGGGACGCCGTCTTCTGCACACAGAATCTGGTCCACACGCACCCACTTACACGGGGTCTCCTGCTCTTGCTGTCCCACGGCACCCGCTTGACACCCCCCTCCCAAGCCCAGCTCATGGGCACATGGAGCTCCAGAAGCCAGAGCAGCCGGCCCACAGCAGCAGGAAGCCGGGCAGCAAAGGCGGAGCTAACGCTGCGCTCAGGTGGGCGGCTAAGAAAAGCCCTCAGGCAGCAGCAGCCCCCGCCCTGCAAAGACCAGGTGATGCCGGGCACAAGGGGCGTCCGTGCACCCGCCCCAGCAGCTCCAGGGCCCTGGCCCGCTCCTCGTAGTCTGCGCTGTCCAGGCTGCGCACTAGCTCCTGCAGCCAGTGACGTGCCCCCGGCGACCCCACCACGGTGACGCGGGTGTGGCCCTCCGGCGTGGCCCAGGCCTCCAGCTGGATCAGCGTGTGGCTGTGCTCCTCCAGGCGCCGCAGGTCGGCGTCCCCGCGCCCGAACACCAGCTCCTCCTGTTCTGCGTCCATGAAGAACACCAGTGGCCTGCGGAAGTGCTCTGGATCCATCCACCAGGCTTGTCCTTCGCCTCCAGAGCCCCTCTCCATCGGGCCGTGCTTCTAGACACCTGGGAGTAGGGATGAGAAGGGGTGGCTGTCAGAGGGCCTGGGACTCTGGAGGGCAGGGCACTGGCAGCTGCGCCCCAAAGGAAGCCTGTGTCTCCAGGGAAGAGCATGCTAGGACTGCTACTACCTGGGCCCATAGGGACTGCAGGTACATCAGCACTCTGGGGGAGACCAGGCTGTCCCAGGCCCCCTCTTGCTGCTGGCCTGCTTCCCCTCGCACCAATAACACCAAGTGCCTATGCTTGCCTCCTACTGGTTGCTCAGAGTTGGGACGCACTGGTCCCCACCCAGCGATGCGCTGCTCACCTCCAGGTTCTGCTCTCTCAAACACCTTGGAGAAGTGAGCTCCCTTCCGTCCTCTCGGGCCCACGCTCGCCTTCTCAGGTATTCTGGCTCTCTGTTCTCCACGCTTTCGCAACTTAGCTCACACAACCTCCGTGTTCCTCAGGACTCGCTGATCGAATTGGAGGAGCATTCATTCCATGGCGCTGTTTCCTTGCCCTCCTTCACCACAGTCGGGGCAATCCGCCTGGAGCTCCAGAGCCTCCCGCCTCAGCCGCCAGCCTGGCAGCACCCAGCACCACTGCCTCAGCTCCCTTTTAAAGCTTGACACAGGTGGGCGTGGCAGCCCACTCCTCTAATTCCAGCACTCAGGAGGCTGAGGCGGGAGGATCGCTGTCAATCAGAGGTCACCCTGGGCAACTCGGTGAGCTCAAAGCTAGGCTGAACTACATAAGGATACCCTGTCTTCAAAGCTCTAATAAATGACAGGCTATCAGTTAAAGAAGCATTCATTTGGTTTGACATTTTAAAGTTTTAGTGTCTCTCTCTCTCAATATGTGCTCTTTTTTTGTTTGTTTCTGAGACAGTATTGGAATGTCAGTTGGGCTGGCCTTGAACTCACTCTGAGGCTGGCCTAGAACTCATGAGGCCCCTCCTGCCTCAGATTAGGGCTTGGGAAAATCTGGCTGGGGAAGAAGGTTGAACGACCTATTAACTACAGGCTCCCTGACACAATGCACAACAGTTCCCAAAGCCCTGCATGTGGACTTCACTTCTCCTGCAAACTCGAGCAGGTTTCCAGCAGGCTGATCTAGACCTGGCCTCAGCCTGAGGCATGAGATCCAAGCACTGCCTCTCAGAACCAGGTTGTGCAAGTTCTCTCCTGTTTCCTTGAAATTTAGACAGCACACAAGGACACACGGAGGCTGCGAAGACTCTGCTAAAGTAACTTTCCACGCCGGCCCTCGCTGTGCTTCCCAGATGCCACCAGTACACTTATCCCTGCGCCCTCCCTCTTCTCTTTCTTTGGCCCAGGCTGGCTCTGCAGAGCCTGATTCCTCCCCGCTCCTTCTTTTACTTTCTCCAGGAACTTTTGCCACTGCCTTTTGCTCCTTTCCTTCAGTTCTTTGAACTAGACAAGAGCCTGAAATCCTGCCCCAGGAGAGACGCAAACCCAAACCTAGTAGCATTTAGTTGGTGAGCCACTTTTTAGAAGCAAGCTGCCTGGTAATAGAACCTACTGGATAGAATGCCACCACCTCTATTCACTATTGAAACTTGTTTGTAATGGACAATAGGCTACAAGATGTGTTCAAATACACTTGTCATGAAATACAAGTAAGAAGTTCTATAGGTAGCAGGAGTACCAATCAAGAATATATTTATCCGTCATGTACCTCAGTAGTGTCCCAAATTTTCTGATCAAGAAGATTATGGGGCCAAAGAGGAAAGTCATCGATGACGTACAGTGCGCCTAAGGAAAGTCACATGGGGAGAAGACACTCTCTCAGACTTTCACAGAGAGCACATTGGCCAAGCAATGGCCGTGACTCATCCACATGGCTGACACTGACAAAGGTTCTACAATCTGAGGTACAGGATCTCAGGATAAATCCTGAGGGCATTTCACTGACCTTCTTAGACCAAAAAGCTACAACTCTTGTTGCATAGGTCCTGCTTTACCTTGGTCTTAACCATCCAGAGAAAAGTATGAAGACGAAATATAGGAAATAAAGCCATGTTGTTAAGTTGAGCTGTGGGGGATTCAGGTCAATAATTTCTGACATTGCCAGTTAAACAGAAGACCCAATGCTATTATGGGCTACTGGACTCTTTTAGAATATTTTGCTGAGTTTACACACCTATAATATTCAATAACGGACCTTAGAAAAATGGAGTATACCTATGAATGTCCATTTTGTATCTGTGTACTCAAAGTGGTTGGGATAGATACATAGTTCAATTCTCTTAATGAATAGAATGATTTGTTCTAATGGTATTTGTAAATAGGATTACAAGTCCGCATCTTGTACAGCAATTAACCACTAAGAAGAATATATGCAGTGTATTATTTGTTGAAACTGTACTTCCGATTTGATTTGAAACTGTCTCATTGCTATCTGTTTATCAATAAAACTTTGGAAAAAAAAAGAATATATTTATCATGACATCTCACTCATGCACTAAAAACCTTCCTAGCATGGCTTTATCACTCTACTTGTCAAAATCAAAAAGGTTTTCGGAGAAGTGACAGTGGTGGCATTGAGATTAGTAGAACATGGGCTGGTGAGATGGCTCAGTGGTCTAAAGCACCTACTTAGAACAAGCTTAGCAAAGTACAAGGGACCGCGGTTCAATCCCCCAGCACCACATGCCAGCCAGCCCCGCCCCCTGGTGGGCTGATCTGGCCACACACACAAATAAATAAATAAATAAATATTTAAAAAAAAAAAAAAAGAGAGATTAGTAGAACAATTATGATATCTTTTTGTTTGAGAATTCACCGTCAGTCTTTTTCTATTTTTTCTCAAGCACAAAATTGCCTGTGTTTGAACAACAAAAAGACCCAGCAAAAATGACAAAACAAAAATGCAATCCTCTGGCCACTAGGCATTCAGTGCTAGAAGGCTTTGTTTCGAGCTTTCAAGTAATTTATACACGTTCTGAATGCTTGAAAGTCAGCAGAAAACTTACATCATCTCCTAGCTGTTGAAGGTTTCTACAATCTATGCCAAATAAACCTTCCAGATATGGTCTATGTTATGGTTTGTGTCCAGCTGTCCCCCCAAAGCCTCACGCAGTCATGGGGTAGACTTCTAGAGTTTGTGATTAACTCTTGATCCCCTGGGATTATGGGTATGAGTGCTGCAGGGATTATGGGTGTGAGTGCTGCAGGGATTATGGGTGTGAGTACTACTTGTACCCTGGGGCGGATAGCCTGAATGCAATTTTTTTTTGGGGGGGGGATAGAACTGGGGATTGAACTTAAGCCCTTGCACTTGCCAGGGAAGCGCCTATTCTACTGAGCCATCTCCCTGGTCCTGAATGCAATATAAGGAAGACAGACTTGCTCTCTGTTGCCATTGCTGCTGCTTCTCCTCCCATTTGCTCTTGTTGTTTTGCTGCCTTCCACTGTCATGAACTGCTGCCCTCTGCCATGTGCCACTCCGCCTTGCAGCCAGCTTTGTAAGAACTGAAAACTCCGCAAACTGTGAGCTAAATAAACATTTCCTTCCTTCATTTGGAGGGCCGGGCATTTGTCCCAGCAATGAAAGCAGAGTACCTGAGATAGTCTAGAAGCATATGCCCTGGTAGACACCAAGCCATTTGGCGCCTCGAATTTACAAAGTTCTGGCGCTCAGATACCAGGTCTTTGTGCATGCGGTCCTACACTGTATGACTCTGTGAGCAGACTAGTGTCATGTATTTCAAAAAGAAACCCACACTGGGGGGCCAGGGAGATGGCTCAGTGGAATAAGCGCTTCCCTGGCAAGTGCAAGGGCCTGAGTTCAATCCCTGGTTCCACAAAAAAAAAAAAAAAAAAAAAAGAAACAAAGAAAGCCACACTGGGGTGGTGGCACAGGCCTATAATCCCAGCATCAGCGGGCCTTGGGGTAGGGGCCTCACTGTAAGTTTGAGATCAGTCTGGGCTACATGATGGAATTCAAGGCCAGCTTGAACTGCATAGTGAGACCCTGCTAACAAACAAACAAAAAAACCAAAGTGGCACGTTTTATACTGGTTCAGGGCTTACTCACTGATGCTCCATTGCTACAGAACAGACCACCAGGCCACCAGCACAGGAGCTGTCCCCAAGAACAACATGGAGATTCCTGGGAAAAAAAGGCTGCGTGTTCACACTAAAGAAATGTGCAGCGCAAGTTATGGATTTCACAGAAGCATACGCTTGGCCTCCCCTATGGTTAAGAAAATCAAAGTCATAGTGACACTGTCAACTAGACACCGTGATGAGAAGGCTGACAGTGAGACCGGGCATGGTGGTGCACTGCTGTCATTCCAGCTCTGGGGAATCGGAGTCATGAGGATCCTGGGAACTCAAGGTCAGCCTGTGCTACACCATGAGTTCCAGGCTGGCCAGGACTACGTAGTGGGAAAAATACAACAAAGTTCTTCCCTTGAGACAAGGAGGTGATGTGCAGGTCAGGCTGGACTTGAACCCAGTATGAAGTCCAGGTTGTCTTAGAACTCAGAGTGATCCTCCTGCTTCCATGTGCCCAGTGCTGGGATTACAGGTGCAAACCATCACACTTGGCAAGCCAAATAATACTTATAATCAATATTACATCATGACGAGAATACATGTGCTAAGGCCAGGTGTGCTAGCACACAGCTGTCATCCCAAAACTAAAGAGGCTAAGGCAGGAGGGTCCCAGACTTCCAGGTGAGTCCATGCTACCAGCTGAGTAGAAGGTTTGCCTGGACTATGTTGTCTCAAAAAAACAAGGGCCAGCCAAATAGCTCAGTGAATTAAAGTGTCTGCCTAGGCAGCTGCAGCAGCCAGGGTTCCATCCCAGGCCTGCCGTGCCAGCCCGGCCCCCAGGGCATGCTGAGATGGCAATTGAGACTTGGCGCGGGCCTGTAATCCCAGATCTTTGGGAGACTGAACAGAGGCGAATCACTTGAGTCCAATCTCCAAAGCGAGACCCTATAGACCCTCTAGATCCTTACTAAAATTACAA